TATTTTCCAGCATAGAAAGGCAGATACCTTGTATGTCCTATAGTTGCAATCAAAATCCAAATGCTGCAAATAAATAAGCATGTAACTGCAGCTCATTGGACACATTGAGCATAATGTTAATTAAATGCATGACAGCACTCCAATTAAGAGTGTACAGCTTGTGTTAAAGTAAATAACAGCAATACCTTTTACCTTGTTTGTGGTCACATGACTTTTCTCTCATTTCTGTTGTTGTGGTAGAGCAGCTCAAACAGTGGCATGTAGATGGAGGATCATGCACAGAAACAGACCAGTGTCAGTGATAGTGATTTTTCAGACAAAACATTCATGCTGCACTATATCACACGTTAATTTTCTCATGTATTTATGTGTAACATTAAGATTATGGAGGGGAAAAAGAGTTATTGAACTTAGGCTACCGTAGTAATTTACTGGTGTTCAGTGAGCTTCTTGCACGTTGACTCAAACAGTAGCATGATAAGATAAGAAGATGTATTTCTATAGAGATGTACCTTCATGGTAAAACAGAAACCGTGTTCGCACACAAGAAATAAAGATTACAGCAGTGATACTGTGTGCTGTTATAATAGCAATAGAATTTAGGTGCAAATAAGCGCTCAAAGTGATGAGAATCACGTGATCAAAATGTTACACGTACAAACCAACAAAGAGCTCTAAAATAGTACAAATCAATCACACGTGTAGTCCAGAATAAATTTCAATTATTCAATTATTAACTAGCATGCACGGTATGATTGACTCAGTATAGAACTATGGCAAAAGTCAGAACTGAAGAGTCTGAAATATAGCTATTTTACGTTAAAACAAACGGCAGAATGAATGAATATAATACAAATAAAAAAAACAATAAGTATAATAATAATAATAATAATAATATTAGCCTAATAATAAAAACTCCAGCACGTTAAATTTATTTCCATTGTCGGAGTGTTTTGACCATAAACGCATGCTATCTTAAATTTCACAGCATATAAAACGTCAATGGTTTCTGTTATGTCAGCTTACTAGAGCCCCTGAATTTCAACTACTTTTTTTATGCCCGGGCTTTGGGCCAATTTTCACGTCATAGTTCAGACGCGGGCCGGGCCTCGGGCCTGTTTTAGACTTCTCCTTATTTTTATATTTTAGACATCCATCAATTAGTGATGAAAAAAATTGCCGTGCTGGTGGAAACAACACGAGACAAGAGCGGCTCGACAGTGTTTAGTGTCCAGCAGCAGAAGTATGCGTGCCGTCAGCGCAGCTGAACAGTTCTGCGTTCAAACGCACGCAACAGGCTAAAGCTTGCCAAAGCACCGGCAAAAGTAATTACCATGAATATGTCAGGGGGAAATAGTAAGGAGATATTTGAATTATTTAGTAATAAACTAGTATTTTAGTATATATTCTAGTGTAGAATATATATTCTATAGTACATTCTAGTGTCGCAAGGATGAAGTTGCCAATCCTGACTCGCCATCTCCTCATTAGACACACCTTTAGAGAGAAATGCATCTTTACGGATTATGATTATAATAAAAGAGTTTTTGTTTTCTATTTGTTTTATTTCGTTAAGTGGTAATTTAAAGCTTTCTATTGATATATTTATCATGTCTGTGAGGCATGATACCTGAAGGACATCACTAGACCCTTGCTGGATCCTCTTCAGTTTGCCTACACAGCAAACAGGTCTGTGGATGATGCAGTCAACATGGGACTGCATTACATCCTGCAACACCTCGACAGACCTGGGAATTATGCCTCACCATCATGGACAGCACTGTGGCTCCAGTGGAGTCATTCAGGTTCCTGGGCACCAGCATCTCTCAGGACCTGAAGTGGGACACTCACATAGACTTCACTGCAAAAAAGGCCCAGCAGAGGTTGTATTTCCTTCGCCAGCTGAGGAAGTTCAACCTGCCACAGGAGCTGCTGAAACAATTCTACTCAGCCGTCATCGAGTCTGTTCTGTGCACTTCAATAACTGTCTGGTTTGGTTCAGCTACAAAATCAGACATCA